CGACCGCCCATCCAAGGGACCGCCCACGGCGGCCTCTCGCGCGTTGAGGCGAACAAGATCTTGGCAGAATTGAGACGTGAACACCAGGAGTTGCGGGCCGGCTCGCGTGGCAATGCCGGAGGTACCTTGGAGTCGACCTGCAGTTCATACCTCAGAAAATGGTACGGTTGTACCTGTCATGGTCCCATTTTCTAGGCAAAGTACCGCAGAAAATGGGTACAGCTCTACGATTCTACATCCTCTTTGGGTCATGAGTCATCGTCCCATTTCCGGGTACGAAGGTCCGAGGCATCCAGTTGCATGTGGCTTTTCGCTTGATGGACGCTTTTTCATCCCTAGAAGACCGGAGAACGATGGAAGAACTCCTTTTTTCCTGAACTGAGCGGTCCACTGCCGTGATTCTTTTCAGAAAGTTCATCTATTGAACCTGTCTGACTGTCTGACAGCCCTTTTTCGCTCACCCGCCCCCAGACCGACGAGCGCAGAGTGGATGGTACACCTCAACTCACATCAGTTGCTTCGCCTTGTTCGCTACACAGGACTCAATTCGTCCTTCCATGCGCATGATTTGAATGCCGCAGATCTATCTGGACCTTCCAAAGTACCCCAGAAAATGGGACATGACCGACATGACCCCATAAAACATTTAAAAAAAAACGAAACAAAAAAACAGGTACTTGTACCATGTTGTACCCATTTTCTGAGGTACTTTGTTTGAGACTTCAGGTATGCGTCTCACACTCACTCTAGGAAGGACACCTGCAGACTACTTATTTCCTGGGCTGTGCCACACTAAAGTGCATTCTGAGACCCAGCCAACAATGTTTCTGATATTTCATGTTGCCCGCCTTGCTTGTCATGTGGCAGGGGAAAAACAATTCAACAGTCTCTGAGTCGACTTCCAATGAGTGACGACTGGTGTTCTCTGTTGGGATGGGCCAAGTGTGTTTCTCACGTGGCCATGGTCAGCATGAAGAACGACACGAGCACTCTACCGCCGGACCCCATCACCATCCCGAAATCATCTTGGCCACGTCTCGAACACTTGGGTTTATGGTTTGGAGCCTGGGGAAGAGGCGCCGAGCTACAGGAATTCGACTTTGCACGGACAGAAAGACCGCAACACATGGGCGGATGACGCTCCCACTTGGTGTTGTTACGGTTCTTCGATGTTCGTTCAATAAAACATGAGTAAAACAATGTAAAACATGATTATGTTTTTAACGCATGCTTTTATGGTTTATATGGTCCTGTTTAGGTTCTTCGATGTTTGCTGTTTGTTCAACCAAATTTACATCATGTTTCTGTTAAACGCGTGCTTCTATGGTTTCTAGTCCTGCTTGACGCGATCATGACGGGCATATGGTGGCGCCAGGGTTGGTGTATGGCCAAGAATATGGCGATAACGATGGCGATGAACATGGCAAGTGTCAAGTGAGATGGCGACGAACGTGGCAATGACATTGGTGACAAGCACTTGAACAGTTGTGGAAAACACGGATGGCGATGCGTATGGTGTGTCAAACCGGACGGCGATCGGCGACAAACATGTGCGAAGGAACAATGATGGTTTTTGATGTGTGGTGTGTGTGTACAGTGTGGAGAGTTTCTCTCTCAGACGCAGGACCAAACAACGGCCGAACTCAGTCAGCGTAAAAAATCTTGCCATGCGCGTTCCCGCAATGTTTATGATGTTTATGTCTTTGCAAAAATAAGGTGCATGATTGAAAACCAGTAGTAGTAGTAGTTGTTGTTGTTGTAGTTGTATTAGTACTAGTACTAACTAGTAGTAGTAGTAGTAGTAGTAGTAGTAGTAGTAGTTGTTGTTGTTGTTGTTGTTGTACCTGTAGTAGTAGTAGTAGTAGTAGTAGTAGTAGTAGTAGTAGTTGTTGTTGTTGTTGTTGTTGTTTTACGTATACCTTGTGTGGCGTGTCAGCCTGTTAACACACATGCAGCAACAGTCCAACCTATTGCTAGAAACATTTTCAATATGGAGCCTCTGAGCTTAAACTTTCAGGGACTCTACTAGCGATGGATTCCAACCTAATAGCAAACTATATAAGACATTATAAGACCTTTCTTCCTTTTCTGTTTTTTTTGTTTCTAATAGCATGGCCTTCAACCTACTAGCGATGGCCTCCAAGCTAAGAGCGACGGCCTCCACCTAACATCGAACCTTTTGATCTTAAACACATTTGCCAATGTTGTTTGCCAAGCTCGTTGCCACTCGCCCAGTGGTTCGCTAAAGTGCTTGTCAAGCGAGTTGCCATTTGCAAACCACTCGCCAAGTTCTTTGCCATATATGGTATCGGTATCATATTGGTTTGCCCGGCTCTACTCTCTTAAAGTTGCCATGTTGTTTGCCATCCGTATTGCCATTCGCCATCTTGCTTTACATATTCAGCTGTCATTGTTTCTGGGTATAGGTATAGGGACAAGCATATCCGTGGGATGTTCATGGATTTTCACTAATTAAATTGTTGATATTCTTGTGAATCAATTTTTGAAGGTGCTGCTTTTATCGGACATCCTTGCGTAACTCCAGCAGAGAGTTATGGTGATGTACCTCAAAAGGCCAGCTCATGTGTTGCGGAACGCTCTGGAGCCAAGGGGTGCAGGAACAGCTCACTGAGAACATGTGGCAGACTTTCTGCAATTCCCAGCCAGAATTTTATGGAGACGAGATGTTCATCGCCATTCTTCGACTCGATTCCTTGTCATGTTTGTTTTTGATCCATTTCCGAAACCGACAGTTCGGAGGTGCATGTCATCATGTTCCTCCGTGACTCGCCGAAGTGGAGCAGAAGCTTCGGGTGTTTGAACAACTCGCTGAGTTCCTCGCCCTGCTTGAGGAGAGCAGGGCAGAGCAGCTGCGCAGCTGCATGGAAAGTGCTGGGAACCTTCACGCCAGGATTGCAGTGAAAACCGGCGAAGAGATGTGAATTCATGCGAACAGGTTCCAAGCCAGCCTGATGCCAGCCTGGTATATCCCGGCCATGTGCAGGGTACGTACTGTGGGGCAACAGATTCGATGACTTTGCTGAGCAGATTTCATATCGGGGGGAAGGACCTTATCTCGTATCCAGAGTTCACAGGGCGGCCCAGGGGCCGCCCTCGGTCTCTGCTTTTTGGTCACCGTTGATCTTATTTGGACCCGATTTTCAAGTCTCAATTGGTCTATATTCTGAACAGATTGACATATTCCATTGGCATATTGACATCTCCGAATCGGTCTTTGTACATGGCACATACCGTATTATCACATGGGACGACCCATAAAAAACAGCCACGACATGACCTCAACTGGACCTCCAGGGCCTGACTCCAGGTCACGACCGCGACTCTTTCGGCTCCCACCGCCACTCGGCTCCGCTCGCAGTCTGCTTACGTTCTAAGCAAACCCGCGCTGCCCCCACGCGCTCTTCGGGGGAAACCAGGCAGCTTGACCAAGGGAAAGCAGGTGGCGGCGTGTCTTTTTTTTTCGGGCAAAGGACGCAGCAGCCTTGGGATCGCGAAGAAAAGAGGTGTAATGGTATATGAAAGCCTTCCCTAAGTCCAGTCTGAGCCAGGTCCAAACCTGGGCCTGAGAACCTCATTGAGTGGTGTTTTTGGATCAACGTTTTGTAGAATGAGGTCAGTTCCGGACCCTGTTTGTGGTTGTTTCACTCGACCCGCAGGTCTCCTGCAGAGAGTCCTGGTCAGATTTGCCTCCTTATGAGGGTGGATCCTCATAAGTCATGGTAGATGACCAACTGCAGGCATTCATGAGGTCTTTAATTGACTAGGCCTAAGGATCCACTGCCACCGAACCTCAGGTTCGGTACCACTGGGCCCGTCGTCCAATGGCGCCTACATCAATAGTCTCCGTCCTCACCGTACCTGAGGTACGGTACGAAAACGGATCCCTAGGGTGGGTCCACTGGCCAACTGTTCCAGATCAATGTGGGCCATTGGGAGTCGGGTTTTCCAGCGTAGATGCAGAAGATAGCAAAAGGAGGAGTATAGATATATATATATATAAGATGATATGATCATACCGACGGACTGGAACTTCGAATGTGCGCCCTTTTTTCTGGTATTTCAGCATGGACGCATTCTAATTATAACTAAAAGACTTTCATTGGAAAGAGACTGTTTTCTAAATTTAAAGAAAGTCAAAAAAAAGTCAATCCCAAAAGTCTAAGTCGACACAAAGTCAAATCAGAAAATTTCAGAAAGTCAAAAAAAAGTCCATTTGCCCAGATCCGACTTTTTTTTAATAATTACTATGTGTTTTTTTCTTTTTCGTTTTTTTTGACATGTTTTGACTTTTTCGAGTGGTTGACTTTTTTTGACTTCATTTTGACTTTTTTTTTCACTTTTTCGAATTGTTTTGATTTTGACATTTTGATGTTTTATTTTGCATTTTGTTGACTTTCTTTTAGACTTTTTCGAGCTGTGGTCTATGGTTGACTTGTTTTTTTTGGACTTTTCAAATTGATGATTTGTGACTTTGACTTCTCCACGAAACTTTTTTTGACGGCTGTTTCGACCTTTTTTTAAATCAAGGATTCTGGCCTTACCAATTGACAAGTTGAGTCCGGACCGGTATGAGTCGATCGGTGCACCGGAGACGAAGTCTCCATTTCGGATCCAATCCGGTGGATCGGTGCACCGTTGGGCCCGTTGGGCCGCTCACTTCTTGTCCAAGAAGCGACCGTTGGGAAGGCTTGGTCTTCATTAGGGATGTCCATGATCACCTCTGAGGTGGTTCCAGAGTAGTAAGGGCACCTCTTAATGAGTACCCTTGCAGGTATAGCCAAACTACCTAGAAAGAATGAAGACCGTCTTAATTTAAGAACGAAAACCACCAGCGACTGTCTGATGAGGAAACTGTGGACCGAAACCGGCGGACGGTAGAGGGTTGTGACTTCGGCCTGTCGAACGTTTCGGTCGACGAAGTCGACCAGACGCCCAGCTGTCCGGTCCTCCCGGTACGCGCGGGTCAGGTCTTTCTCGTCATGCCAGTGACCAGCCTAGCAAAGACGGGCACCTACCTTGCGATCTTCATCACAGGTGTGACCGAATTCTCTTTCCGAATTGATCCTTCCTGGCGAAAGAGTGTTTCAATCATTAATCTTTGTTGTCACTTTGCGGTCTTTGGATTATACATGCAGCGCAGCAATTGGAAGTGAATTGACAGTCAGAAGGTTAGGGAGCTTTCTATGTGATTTTCATTCAGACTCATCGAAAGCATTTGCAAAGGATTCCTCCAAGCTATCCCTTTGGCTTGCTGAAGACTTTGGGTGAAAGTGCTCGCTATCAACATTTCATGTGCTTGGTCTTATAAACGGTTCCATGACCGTAAGACACCCTGAAAAAGCTGTTTCCAGGTATTGCATGTGACATAATATAATTCGAAACTCGACACGTCCTTCGCCCGCAAGCTGCGGCGGCCGGCAGGGGTTCTCCCACCCACCCCCACGCGTGTCGTTTGTCGAGCGTCGGCCGTGTCGTGGCGTGGAGCGGGCGCCAGCTTTGACCAGCATCCTTTGGGTCACACTACTGATGCAACCCAAAGGCGGGGCGGGGCGGTGCACCGTGCGGTGCACGGAGCGGTGCACGGTGCGGATGGAGTCAGGTGCGGATGGAGTCAGGTGCGGATGGAGTCAGGTGCCGATGTGTTGATACCACCAATAAAGAAGCACCAGGGCCCAGGGAGCTGAATCGACTTGTAGGCCCTGTAGGCCTTTGGATGCCTTTGGTATGTAGCACTTAGTAGTAGTTCTATATGAATGGTCTGTTGTTGGTGATTGTGTTGATGAAGGTTGGACATGTCTTGGAGAGTCCAGTTTAATGCAATACTGCGATCAGTGATCACCATTCATCACCCACGGCTGATGCCGCTACTTCGACCACCTGTGTCACCGTGACACCTTGATTGCCAAACACATACTCGGATGCCTTCCAAGACCATTAATCGTATGGCGGACCTGGTGTTGTAACACTAAAACCTTTATCCCTAAGCATCTACGGGCCCTGCCATGGACACCTTCACAGGGGTCCGGACCTGGTTCTGTATAGTACAATTCCTGCCGGGCTGCTCGTCCACGCACCTCGTCCCAGCGGAGGCAGGTCGGACGTCATGGGTTTTCTGCTCATTTGGAACCTGTTCCCAGTAGTAATGCCAGGAGCGCGCGCCCCTAGTAGCGTCCTTGCTCCTAGCAGGAATGCCCTTTGCTCCTAAGTCTATAGTAGCTTCTTGTTCCTAGTAGCTTCCAACTTCCTCCTCATTCGGAACTTCTCCCACAACTGAAGCGGCCATGGCTTCTCTGAACAGATTCGCAAAATTCAAAACAATTTGGACAACCTGGCACAGGCAGCACTTGGTGGTGAGGAAACCACTACCCACATGATCCCACATACCAAGCATCCATCCCCCAGATTGGTTTGTACCGAACCACCAATTGGATCCACATGGGGATGGTAAACATGGAGCATGAACCGCTCTTTTTGACGCCCAGAGCCCTTTGGGCGCGCCACAGCTGGCGCTCAAGATGACTGGGACGTACACTCCCTGAAGTCATCTTGGAAGATCATGGTGACGTAGATGCCACGCAAACTCCTCCGAACATGGGATGACCATGGATCATGGACCTGAATATCAAACCTTCAGCTGGTCCTTTCGCTCCCCCGTCAGCCATGATTTGTCCAGAAAACCGGTCCTCCAACTCCCCGCTGGTCCTCCTTGTCGCCGCGGTGCTTCCCCACGGCGCGTGGCACCAGGCTGGGCCCTGCGGATCTCGCCCTACTACACGGCGCGGAGCTCGCCCCGACACCTCTGCGTGCCGACCGGTGTCCGTCAAGTGATCCGAAGACGGGTGATCCGTTGGCGTGGGAGCGGAAGAGTTCTGGTCAACAGATCATCAAATTCAATGTTCTGGGCGCCATTCGGACCTGTCATGGCGCCATCCGTGTGAAAGGACTCTTCAGTCACGTCAGCAGTTCTGGATCGCAGATCGAACAAGTTTGCAAGTGAGGACCTGTCATGCCCCCTCATCCAAAACAGAAGGATCAACCAGATCCAGCGAACCGCCGTGAACCGAAGGTGACGTGGAACAGTGACTCCCTATTTTCCATCTGGAAGATCAGTCTCTATCAGTCTCAGCCATTTCGTGTCGTTTCGAAAAAGATCGCCCATTGAAACATGGTAAACCAAAGATGTCCCAAACACCCAAAAAACTCTCCTCACTCTCCCGCATGCGCATGTGGAAATCCAGCAGCATCTACGTTCCGCAGCTCCGCATCCGACGGTCTGTCAGATTGACACGGGTGTTTGGCAAGTGAACGTCAGCAGGGTCAGGGCGCCCAGAGTGAGCACGGGTCGACACCTTCGAGCTTTGGAGGTTTTCCTCCGGGGGTCGACACGGGTCAGTGGTACGAGACGTGGAGGTTGATCCGTGGGGGTCGACACGGGTGTCGACACGGGTTTAGGGTTTAGGGCCTAAAGGGGCACCTAGCTCGGTGGGTCGGATCTCCGACCCATCCGGAACAACCGACGACCCAGGGGCCCATCGATTCGATGGATTGATTGGAGGTTTCTGTCTGCTGGAAGATCAGAGCAGCGTTGCAGGTGGTGGGACCAACATGATAAACACACATTGCCTTTAGGGGTTGGTTCTGAAAGGGTATAACATATGGTAGTATAACCTTGGCTGGAGGGAATCTAATACCCTTTGATGGATTCTTGAACTGCTGCTGGTGCCTTTGTTCCTTATCCTCCACAAAAGCGTAGCCCATCTCAAAAGACTCACATCGCCGTCCAAGCTAATACGCTGCTAGAAGATTGGTTTTCTTGAATGATGGTGAAGGGTGCATGTTCTTGTGCGTGGTGGCTTATTGCCACCCCACAGCTCCTAAGCTTTCACTCCATCTCCCACAGCTTTGCTGGAGGAGAAAGCGCGTTCTCGATGAGTATCGGTATGACTGGTTCCTCTAGACATGGATTGGAAGGTGTCAGAAGATTATAATATAATCCTCAATGTGACTGACATGGTGGCATACAATGTAATATTAACTTTCTTTGTGGAAGGTGGTCAGACTGTGTCAGAATAATTGCACCTGGAAAGATTAACATGGAACCTGACAAGGGATCTTTGGAAGACTAGCTTCCTCCACAAACCAGTGGTTGTCATGTTCCAGGCATTCCCGGGGGGGCTGTGAGACGGTGTCCCCTCAAACCACCCCACAGATGTTCTTTCATATTGATCTTGGATGTTGCTTTAAGACACCAAGCGTCTAGAAGGACCCTCGAGCTCATGAGCAGTCCCTCCCATATTTGTGAGAGGTTTTGTGATCAGTCCTCCGACAGACATAATTCCGGTCTTCGTGGGCAGCCGGGGCATGTGTGATATAAACTCACTCACGACCGGGAAACTTCTTCAGGTGCTGTGAGGTGCTGCCTGTCAATTCTTCGATGCAACATGAAACGTAGACTCTTAAAGGGCTCAAAAGTCTACATCACCTTGTTGTGGCATGTCATTCTTTCCCAAATACCGGTCTTCTCGGCCAGTAGAGACCATCGCTCTTATAGGTTGGAGGTCACTTCGCCACCCCGGATGGACACTTTTCACTTCAGCAGGGGGGGCCCTTGGTCCGTGGCCCTGAGCGGCGCTAGGGTGCCATCCTCAAGCTCGTGCCGGGCACGAAAGGACGACGGGTCCAATGCCTCAGCCACGACTCGACGACGGGCGTTCGTTGCGTCGTGGCGTGTTGCGTCGAGGATCGCTGTAGGCTGACGTGTGAAGTGGCAGCACCGTGTGAAGCTGGTAGAGTGGTTACAATCCCAGAATTGGTTGAAGGGAGAATCTATTGGAAACCCATAGTTTTGAGGTGTGAAAACAATGCTTCCAGTAGATTGTCCCTTAAAACATCCTTAAACGATTTTAAACCACCTGCGGCATCAACTTCCTGCATTTTCGTGGTCCCAGGAAAATAACCTGGTTTTTATAAAAAAAACCAGGTTTCTGATTTCATGGATTTGTGAGAGCCCAATAGACAGGAAGTGGACACCCCACAAACCCACCCAAGCCACGCAGCGCGCCTCCGCCCGCCTTCTTGTTCTCCGAGAATCGATGCCACATCAGCACCGCAGGTGTCAAAGCTAGAAACTCACCCTGGTTATCAGCGTTTCCTTTAGAAACAATTAAGTAAGTTTCATTATCGTGTATTAGGTGGTTTCCACAAAAGCGGTTAAGCCCTAGAACACTTAAATCAAGAACATGGTAGGTGAGTGCACAGGAAGCTACCTAATTAGGCCAGCACGTGTCCAAGCTACACGAGCTTGAGTCAAATACCGCTCAAAAGAACGAATTACTACTCTCCGGGCGCTTACCCTTCGGGAAAGCCGCGCTGTCTTGCCAATACAATCTTCATCCTGCTGGCATGCCACTGCCAAGCAATTGATCCCTATGCCAGAGTTCACAGAAGTCTTTTGAAGCGCCAGCATCATTTCCTCCATGCCATGAAGCTTTGGAAAAAGCGGCCAGAGGTTGAGCTTTCGGTCATAAGACTCCTTTGCCAGCCGGCGGTACTCAATCAACCAGCCTTGCCCCAACGAAACAACGTAGTCACAATCGTTTTTGCTCAAAAAGAACGGGCTTCGATACAAGTAGCTGAGCAGTTTGTTCAGCTGATTCGTTCCCTGCAGGGCATGGTGCAAAAGGTCACCATGTGCTGGTTGAAGGTCTGCAAGCCACTCGCCCAGCCACTTCAGCAAGTTACAGGTCAATGCTCCTTTGTGCCACGCCCCTACCGGACCTTTGGGGTCCGTGAAGCTGAGCAGGGTGGTTGTGAACTTGGTCACAATGGGTTGCACGCGGGCACTTCGGCAGTACGCCCGGTAGCTCCGAGTCAGCGCCTCCATCCTTGCATCCATGTTGGTTCCGGGAACCAAGCCCAAGTGCACAGCAAGTAGAAGTGTGGAACATACCCACGACTTGCCGATGCCCAAGTGCACCGTGTGCCACAAATCAGCTTGAAAGAAGCTGGCCTCATGGGCCGGGTTGTGAGGCAACTTCATAAAGCAGGGCGCCTGTGACCAAGGGGGCATGATGCCGATCGTCTGTCTCCAGGCCGCGCTCGAGTTCACCAGATCCTCGTAAGGGAAGCCACGGCAGCCTGCTAGGCAAAGGTGGCATTTGCCCTTGGGAGCATTGCGCTCCACTCCTCTCTTTGCGCCAGTGGAGAAATGTCTCTGAAAGCGACCCACCTTGGCTAGGTAGGGCCAGTCGCCCTTGACCCCTAGCACGCAAATCTTGCGGCAGTTGCCTTTCTTGTCAAAGACCCCTGTGCGGAAAAGATCCAAAAGGCTGTGCACGGTAGACTCCATCACTTTGTGATAGAAATCGGGATCTGACTCGTAAAACCGCTTTGGAATGATTGAGCTGACAAACCGCGTAGTGTAGGTGTGCCCTCTGTAGTTTATCTCGTGCTTGATCGTTCCATCAACCTTCCGCTTGCAGCCGCGTAGTTTGTCACTGAAGCCGATGCCTAAGCACGATTGCAACGATGTCACCATCACGGCCGATTTTTCAAGGACCTGCCTTCATCTCCATGCACGTAGATCCCTGCTGTGTTCTCCCGGTCTAAATGGAACTCTTCATTGAAGATGTCCAGCTCAGGATGCATAGCCTCAATTTTGTCCCAGAAAGATCGCCAAACCTCTCCAGCTTGGTGGCGGTGTGCATCATCCAGCCCAGCTAAGTGGTGCCAAAGATCACTGTCTATGATGTATTGGATCCAATCTTTTGGGCGGATCCACGGAAGCTCCCGGCCATGAATTTGCAAGTATGACATTGGCACATTCAGCCTACTCCGTTGTTTCAACACGACCTTGGAGCAATCTCTCTCAGAATTGTTCAAGCAAATTTTGGCCCATGCATCAACTCCGCCGGAAGCTGACTTCCCTGGTCCAAGCTCTTCTGCAACTGCTCTGGCAGTTCTGATCTGTGAGCGGCAGCTTGCCTTGGCAACAGGGCAAAGAGCAATAACCAAGCTATGTTCAGAGTTGAACGCGTCATGTGATATGTTTCTTGTGTTGCTCTGCTGGAGAACATTTGTATCAAAAGGATGTGACACAAAGGATGCATATACGACAGGGAAAGTTCTAGTTCACTCAAACAGGTAACAGGTATACCGATTTTTTCAAGGCTGTAGTGGCTGGACTGCAGCCCTCCTTCATGCACACAATTATCAAAAAGGTGTTGAATTGGGATGGCTTTACATCAGACGGAGTGAGTGAGCCAAAAGTAGCCCCTTGCAATTTCCTGGAAATCTTGCAGTGACCCGCTAAACCCAGCCCTGGTCCCTTCTTGGTTGGCGAAAGGGAGAGAGAGAGAGAGAGAGAGAGGGAGTCTGACAGGTGGAATAGCGATTCCATGCAAAAAGCAAGCCCATCAAAACATGTTCACCTCCCATTTTAGGATGTTGAAGGTATATGGTTTCAATCCCAAGCAACATTCTATACTCACGGTCGCATTGGATCGGTAGATGCATGGCGGCCTCGCCGTTCTGAGCAGCGGGCTCCTTCTCCGACATTGGCCGCAAAGGCTTTGGCCGTGGGACCAGGACCTGGCGAGGGTGCCAATGAGAGCGGTGCTGTCAGTGAAAGCAAACTGGAGACACCTATAAGTAGCGCTAGCCATAGACTCATTTTTTCACATCCATCTAGCCCCAAATTGCGAGCTGCACTACGTAGCATCCATGCGTACTGGGTCCTCCAAATCTTTGCTTCACTGCGCCTGGGTCTATATTTTTTAAGTTAGTTGCATCATGGGCGCAGTCGCATGCAAAGTACCCCGTGGAGTGTCCCAGCACAAAGCCGTGGATGCAAACCTATAGATCGAGCTAGAAGGTCCATCAAATTGCCGCAAGCCGTGTTAGCACACAGCAGCCAAAAACTGGATCACCAAAGGATCGCAATCACCTAATCATCGCCCTCCTTCTTCACTTTAGTGAAGTGGCGCTTGGCACTCCTGAGTCCAACCATGGAGTTGGCAGAAATGGGTTTACAGTTGTATATATGTATATACGTGAGCTGATCAACTGCCGCAGGAAGATGTTGTCCATCCGCTGAGTACCAGACCGCACCTTGGCCTCATTCTGGGAAACTTGCGTGCACCTGGTTGAACATTGAGTCGAAACGAAACAGTGCGAAAGATTTACAGTCACGATAGAGATTTGTTCATCAACTCTTTCTGCAAGCCAGGGGGCTCAAAAGTAGAAGACTTCATAGTTTTCTCAGCTTTGGTCACAGACCTGGGATAGCTGAAAGAGCAGTCTTATCACGTGGTTCAGTTGAGAACTCTTGCGTTATAAGACATATAAAACAAAACAACTTGGAATTCTGTCGGGCTGCTCTCGGTTCCATTCGGATTGCTCCCCTTCTGCCCACACCTGACTGCACTTTGTGTACACACCGTCCAAGGTTTCCAGGTCCTTCTCCAATGTGGCGATCGACCTCAGGCCGTCTGGCCGCTGACGTTTGGACGTTGATGTTAAATAAACATCGACAGTTTCCTATAGCGTGTTTTTTCTCTCACAAGGTGCTTCAGGTTTGAGGGAATGGCTTTGAAGCCAATGGGTCATCGTAGTTGCGTTTGAGATCGGAAATCAACTGACGGATCTTGGCGCTCTTCTGAAGGACAGAGTCATTGAACTTCTTGAAGGTCTCCCTCCCACGATTTCCCTGGCAAAGGTGAGTGGAGCTGGGATGGAGACTATGCACTCACGAGCTGGTCACTTGGCTTGCCTGCGCAGCGTCGACGGTCGGGGCAGCCACAGCAGCATTCATCCGACAGTCCATCTCAGAGATGTGTCGCCGGTTTGGGTCGATTTCTGCCGTTTCCGTGTCCTGAAGAACATAAATTCATGGCTCTACACTTTGCAATCCTTTTTTTCTGGAAAAGTCGGGAAGAGTGGCTTCAATGATCAAACAATAAATAGAATCGAAAGAAGAGTCCTCACCCCGATGGATCCTCTTCTTCTCCTCGTACTCTTCCTGTTCACGGCTTCCGGTTTCACGGACACTGACCCAAAACTCTTCTTCACCTCCATATTTGTTTTGCCTGGGATGGCAGGCAGTTGGCTGCATGCAATGGTTATCAATGGTCACTTTCAATATTTCATGTTCAAGCATAGAACCGACACAAAGAAGGGTCAGCACGGCAAACGCGGATGGCTCCGTCCACCTTCTTCCTGGGCTCTGGCACGGCTCCGTTTTGGGGGCAGTTATGGGAGCGGCTCTTTGGAGTGGTTCGTTTTTTAACTATAGAACATGGAAACGGATGTGGGTCAAGAGTCTGTGGCCACTGAAGAACCTTCAGCATCTCATCGCGGGAATACCAACCTTCGTCAATCTTACATTTCTTGGAATCCTTGACGCCGTGGGTCTTCTCAACAGTCCGGATGAACGTGTCCTGCATTTCAGACAGGGGTCTGCGAGAGATTCATTTCAGACATGCTGAGAAACTGGTCGGCCTGCCAAACAGAAGAAGGGTGCGATGAACATCAATCAAGGACCACCTCGACCCCATACCCATTGTACACGGGAACATGGGGATAACCTGTCATGTTCTTTAGGACGTTGTGGGATTGGATTTGCGTTTTCCCCAACTCCAACTCGCCATCGATTGGTTGGGGGTCACCGACCACTTCCCCCCAACCATGTCCTTATCGAAGTCACATGATTCCAACTGTTTGGCAAGCTTTGCCTTGTCCCCAGTCATCCATGCATCATGCAACCACTTTGGCACCTGCAAACGACCATGGGCCTTTTCTTCACACAATCTGCGAAGACGTGCTTTGAGCTTGGCCATGTGCTGGGCCTCATCCTTGGAGAGGCATGAGTCCAAGAGACATCTTAAGGCTTGCAGCTTACAACTCACTGAGTGCTACTTTGTTTCAGTCTTCGCTACATTGGAGGGCTGCTCTGTAACTTCACCATCCGCTGGGCGCTTCAACCCTCCTAGAGCCACTCCAGGGGCGGGTGAAGCTGGGGCGGCCGAAGAAGGTGCGACCTCAGAAGGCCTGGCAAGGCCTCCCAACAGTTGCATGGCCGTCATGGCATCCATTTGTCCAGACTTGAAGAGCTCAACCACTTGGGTCACCATCGACTTAGCTCGCCCACTCTCCATCACAACATGGATATGTTCTGAGTGAAGCTTTCAGCAAAAAAACAAACTATATAGCAGCTAGAACACAGACTGTTCGGAACAGCCGGCCGATGTTGGGGTAGGACTTGGGGGCGCTGGCGTGCTTGGCTGGGAGACGGTTTCAGGAAGAGTCTCAGCAGTATCAGGAATCAAAATTGTAGGCACATGTGCGGCCTGCTGCGGAGTAGCCTCAGTTGTTTTCATCGACGCTCTATATATATAAATAGGTACCTCCCACACCTCTAGCATATCCATGATAATAGCAAAGTAGCGACGGTCTGAATCATTTGCTCCGGCATTCGAGAATCAATTTTGTCCTGGATCTCCTGAACCTCCGCTTCCTCAAGCTCTGCGGTGGCCTTGACCTTGTTGGTGCCCGCTGGAAGAAAGATTCCAACACCAAATGTTTTTTTGCAGTCATGCTAAGTTCAAAGCGATAGATTGCTTCGCCTCAAGGTCTGCCAAATGGCCTTCCAGCTCCTTACATTGGAAAGGGTATATATATACGGCTACCCTCTGAGTATTCATCCACCCACCCCTTACGCCGCTGAGATTCAGTAAGCAATGCCAAATCGTTTGGCAACTCCCCTTGCATATCCACCAGAAGGTGAGCAAGTCCGTCTGAAAGTTCAGTCGTGCTCCAGCGTGCACTCTTAAGGGTAGCAAGAGTGTCCGATTTAGCAATCGACATGCCGGATACCGCAATTGGACACCTGTGTTTTGACCCTCTCCAAGCCCAATGCTGCAAAGTTGAACCAAAAAAAACGTTTGTGCCTTTAGAAAGGGTCATGCCAAAGGGCTTTTCCGTTGTCCAGCGGTTGAAACTCACAACTGTTTTCCTTTTGCGCACCAAATCCTCATTGTAATCAATGAGGTGTCTCCGAATTGGCGGTTTAATTTCCACCCTGAGCTCCCAAATCTTCAGCAGATCCCCCATTCCTTCACGACGACATTGGAAAAATGAGGTTGAAACCTAACAAGAACCATCTTGAATCTCATCATGGATTACGGCCTAGTACGGCCTTAAAACCCATAAAATTTTACGGGTTCTGTACGGATTTTTATGGGTTATGTACGGGTTCAGTACGGGTTCAAAAATCCTGTGTTTTTTTTACGGGTTTTTTGGGTAGGTTTACGGGAAGATTACGGTGCTTTACGGGAAATCTTGAAAATACGGGTTGAAAGTCACTAAAGTTGTCTTGGATCCCTCATAGGTCCTTCACTCTTCAACCCCGTTCCAACTAACCAGACCCTCAGGGGTTGCTTTTCAAGGCTTTACAGCCTCCTGGGGAGCAAAGGCCTGAAAGAAGGTGGGATAACAAGGCCGGTCCCACCCCTCAAATAGTGGCAGACTGCTTGTAGATCTGCCTCAGCCCAAAGGTCATCGAAGACCATTGCCTGGAAAGTGTCTTCAGCTGAAGGGATGCTTGCAGGAAGCGGTGGTGGTCCAATCTTCTCATTGACTAAGTCCAGATAGATGCTCACCAGCCCCAATCCAAATCGTGGTGGGTATTCCCTTAGCAGCCAAACCAACCATCGTGGACATGTGGGAGGATGGGTATAGGTATATATAACAGTTCCAGCGTTGGCAAGAGGACTTCTTTCAGGAGGGACTTCCAAAAACTAAGTGCAGGTCTCTGACTGACGAAGTTTGGCTGAACCTTTCCAACGATGTTTGCCATTGGAGTCTTGGTATTTGATCACAGTCTTGGACTTTTTGGTTGGGTCCTCCCTAACAGCCTTGGCCCATCCTCTCAGCTTCCCGGTCCAAAGCTTCGAGATGTGCTTGCTGTTCGACAGAGCATAGTGGGGCTTTGGTGTAGGCCCCCCATACGCCAACATGTACCAAGTGCACTTGGTGACCTGGACGCGACCAAACGAAAGGTGCGGCAAGGATCCTTGGGACACCTATCGCGGGCGTGGCTCATAAATTGACTAAATTGCAAAAGTTGGAAAGGGAATTGAAAAGAATCCAAGCCGCTACATCTCAGAATATAGACAGACGATCTAATTATTTGGGAAGCTCTCAAATCAAACCCCAGCGGACGTCGAGGGCGAGAGGGGGGTTGCTTTGATCTTTAGTTAGCCTGCAAACATCAGGGCGATATGTCTATGTCCAGCTGGTAACATTGTAAATCTAAGGCTTCTCCAGACCCAAGACCAACGACAAGCAGAGCACCTGGGCTCAACGGTTGGGATCCCCGACAACATCGACTTGGTCGTGGGCCGCTCGAAGTTTCTCCAAGAAGTCCCTCCACCTGGGAAAAAACTCGAAGAAGGATTGCTTGGGCTGCTCTATAGTGAACGTCCCATTGAGACAAACCACGAGCATACATAGCAGTACCACCCTGCAGGGAAAGCCAGTTCCAGACACGTTTGAACAGACAAAAACCTCTTCGATGCCCCCGTGCCAAAATAAAAAACATCGGCTCAATGGATTGAATGTTGGAGCTCCCCGGCACCGTGAAGCAAGTAGATTTCCTTGCTGCACACTTGGGTAGTCGGTGTTGCCTATGGACGAGCAAGGTGCGCGTGAAGATGTGGCACAGTTTACCGGGGTCCAGGATGAACACTTCATACCAAAATGCGCCCAGAACCCCGCATCGTTGTCGCCATACAAGAGTACTAGGATGGCGAACCTGGGCAGCCAGGAGAAGTATGGTTTATTTCATATACAGTTCCAATCACACCACTAATGCATGAATTTGCATACGAGCCACGCTAAACCCTCTGGAGAGCAAAGATCCATGACACACTTTTTTGTATGCCTTGTTGAGAACTTCTTTGAACGTAGAGCTGCATCAGCTTTATCGTGTGCATAGTTGAGGTCTAGCTTTGCTACAGAGTAGCCTGCATACTGAATCATGCGAGTCGCTTCCGCACGGCCTGCAAAGAATTCTATCCACTCCAGGGTCGTGTCCTGGCGGCTTGGAGATATGCGCAGCTCGGGATGGTGAAGCTGGGTTGGCAGCTCGGGATGGTGAAGGTGGGTAGTTGGCTGATATGCATGAGTTGGTCCAATTTGTTTCAAGTGGTATGTTGACCTGACCTTATTTTCTGGGCCATGTGCGCACGCGCGGTCCTTCCCCAAGTTGGCTTTCTCTTCAAGGCCTCGCTGAGACCAAATCACCATGAGAACAGCGAAGACAAATGCCTCAGCAGCCCCCAGTGTCATCAGCCCTAAAACCCCATGCTCCTTTCAAACGGAACTATAAGCTGGGTTGCTTTTGGGGCTCCAAGTTTTTGCAGCTTCCACACAAGTGCTGGTGTGGATTGAGGGTTGAACGACCCCATGGCAACAGGTCACCGGTGAAATCTCACGGGTCCGAACTTCGACAACTATCAAAGCGCAAATCATCGCAAATCGTATTAATTGCAATGTATACAATCGCTGATTTTGACCTGTGGCATATAGGGCTGCAGCTTCTGAGCCAATTGAGCATTACACAGTGCAAAAAATGTCATGGCACCGCGAAACAGTGATAGGCATGGGCAAGAACTTCAAATCAAGCGTGCCCGGCCCACGATTGTCCTCGATGAAGCCTGCTTTCATGAGCGCTTTGCATCCCCGCAAAGACGGCATTGACCTAGGCAGACAGGCTTCATGTTGGCAAACATTGGCAAACGAAACAGGTGCAGCCCCGTGGACTACGAACGAAAGCAAACATGTCAGGCAAATGAAATGCGACACCTGGCCCTCACGCACCGCGCATGCAAGCAGAACACCTTTTCCATCCCCTAGACAGTCCTCTACAGACTTCGCATGAGGACATCCCCATGCACTGTCCCCCAAACACTTTTGAAAGTTGAGCTCAACACAATGAGCTGGCGACACGCTTGCTTGGCATGACGGCCCTAACCATGTATATAGACTGTGGAACGTATAAGGTCTGAAACGATGGGGCCTGTAACCTATAGAACAACATTTCTCGGCCGTCAGCCATCTAGACAGCCATGTCCAAAGCTAGCAAAGCATTGTACTTGATCCTGGCCAAAACTTCATGGAAAGGCTGCAGTGGGCTCGGATTCCTTTGGCCATCGATGCCATTCGTATCGACCCAGCACGCCTTGAATGGGATGTCAGCACTTGCAACTTAATCTTATGAACCGCCACAACCCCAATCCTATGACCACCAAAACAAAAAAGGTTTCAAAGCTGGTCAAGCCAAAGCCACAAACAGTCGGGCAGCGAAGATCTGGACAATCAAACGCCTGTTGAGCTCCTTGCCCTTCTCGGTCTGACCGATTTCAGGAAAGTAGGCGATTTGCCTCGAATCTCCGTCTGCGACCCACTTCACGGCTGCGGCAGGCCTGTTCCAATAGGGCATGACTCGAGTTCGAGGAAACCATTTCAGGTCAGATGCCAACATCACCTTCAGATCTTCCAAGGGAACCGAAGGGTCAGCAGCTTCCGACTTCAGCCTCCCTGCAAAGTCTCGCAAAATGCCTTCGTCCCTCAGGTGTTCCTGAGTGACTGCATCATCCACCCTCTGTGGTCTCGAGCTGGCCCTCTTGGCCTGAGCCTTCGGCCTTGCTTCAGCAGAAGCATTGCGGACTCTCTTCTGCCGCGTGGATCCCGAGGCTGCGGATGCTTCGGCCTTTGCCTTTGCCTTTGCACGCGGCTTGGCGGCTTTGGCCTTCGCCTCCTTTGCCTTCATCTTGGCCACAAGCGGATCAAGGATGTGGTGAGGGTGCTCAGCCATGGGATCCCCCTCACCTTCCTCCACAAAGAGCCTTCTCCGGACAGGGTCGTGATGGTCCACCTCTTCAGGGCTTGAGGCCTCCACGGCATCACTGCCTTTCCTAGCCTGGCGCTTGGTCTGGCTGCGGCCCCGGCCACGTCCATGACCACGTCCACGCTTGGAGCCAATTTCCTCAAACTCTGGCTCTTGAGATCCTCGAGGTTCATAGTAGCGGGTGTCCTGCATCTTCAGCTTTGTCGCCCGGGCCAATGGTGACAGCTTCATCTTTGGCGACAACTGCAGCTTCTTTGGGCCTGGCTTGGTCTTGGCGCCAGCCTTCGCCCTGCTCCTCTTCTTGGGCTTCTCCTTCTCGGCAAGCTCAGCGAGTTCTTCACAGCAGCTGCCTTCCTCGGGAATGCCCTTCTTCAGCTCCAATTGGTCTTTGCGGGTAAGCACCGGCGCCAGCTCTGTGAAGCGAGCCCATTCATCCTACAACAACATGCGCAGTCTTTAGTCGGTGGTTGATTGTATCAACCACAGCCCAGAGAACATCAAACAAAACGGATCAACCCCTGTTCAATCCCCACTCAAAACTAATCCCAAAGACGCCTGAGAAGGCTTCTGCGGCGCATTCTTCTCAACCTTGGGATTGCCCTCAGAACGGTGCAAAGGCCCAGGCACCAAGGAGGGTTCCTCAAACTTTGGAACAGGCGGCAATGCAAGTATCTTCCTGCCATGGATGTGGTCATAGAAGTCATCCGGCTGAGACTCCGCAGTGTCCGAGTTCATGGGCTGTGTCTCGTCCGTATCACGCACGTGTCCTGCGACCATGACCATGTGGGACACCAACACAGTGAGAACATTTTTGTCATAACCGAAATGGCGTTTATCAATTCAAAAACGTTTGTGATCGATGCACTCATACTCTCAACATCATTTTGCAAAACCGTTCCTGCAGGCGGAAGAGTCAGACGCGGAACAGGGTCACGTGCAGCCAAGCTCTCCTTCTGGCCCACTTGCCTATAGGGGTTGATCAAACTTGATTGCAGAGGCTTACTGTTTTTCCGTGGCCCCGTGGTTTTTTAGAGGGTTCTTTGGAACACAAATAGAAAACAAACTAGTTCAAATCCTTGCGCCGTGAGAAGCCAAGGAACAGCAGCTGGGTCTCCACCTGCTGCGAAAGAAGACGCTTCTTCTCGGCAATGCGCTTTTTGAGCTCCTCGATGGCAGTGGCGTCACCTGGACTGGACAGTTTCTACAACTTAGGGGACCTCAACATGGATGCCATCCCAAGAGTGCCAACCCCCCAAAAAATAAACTATACCCAAAAAGGTTTGCGTTGTTGATATGGCAAGTGGCCAGACAGAGCTTTTGAAACTCCGGTGCCAGTTGTGCCCACACCACTTGAAGAACTTGCTTTCTCCTCAGCATGGCCCCCACGGACTTCTGTGGGGCAACTCGCTGCAGCCGCCCCAGGAATTGTCGATGAGGGTGCTGGTGGCTGCGGCGATTCTGGTGCCGGGCCAGGAGCGGGAGCGCTGTTCTTGCCATCGAGCCAAGTTTTGAACTCATCAAAATCGAGCCTGCTGTCTTCGTCCAACTCCTCACCCAAATCATCCTCAGCCACATCAGGCTCCATGGAGTGCAGTTTGTTCAGCCCCTTCATGCTGATGTTCTGCATGTGCTCTTTGATGGCCACCTAACCAGGGTCAGCTAAAGTCCATATGCTGTAAAGAGGCCCGTGGAGTTCCATATGACTTTGAAACATGGCTATTGTTTCCCCACGCAGTCACGCAGTCTTGCCTCCAACGACGGGTCCAAGGCCAACATCAGTGGGTGAAAGCGAGAGTCCTTCACATGGAAAATGTTCAAAACAGCCGTGCGTGATCTAGAAACAAAACCATGATCATATAACATTTTCGAACAAGTTCAAACCAATTTTCAAATTCCATATCCTTGGTGTATTCTTTCCGGTTCACTTTGCGCTTGACTAGCCCAAGCAGCTTCTTGATCTCCACACCGTGACGCCAAACCTGCCTCTCTTGTGGCTCGACGCCACAAATCTCAAAGAACTTTGCAATTTCCGTTTGCAAAGCTGGAAGAAAAGGAAGACTTTTGTTCGGAGACGAACGCATGCGATGCAGGCACGGGATCAAAACCGAGCTGTTGGCACAAGCATTGGCCCTGGTTGGCTCAACCCATGTTTTCGCGGGGTCCTTCACAAGCAAGGTACTTTGCTCACGAACCCGGGCACGGGTCAACGTAGACTCCTCCCACTCAGTGCTCAGTCCACCCACCTCCATGTTGGACAACTGGGTCAAAATGGGTCTCAAACCCAACTTGCAACTCGAGCCAAAAACCCTTTCAGCCCAAACAGTGCCTCCGCTGCGCAGGACTTGATGCGATCACTGGCTGTCTTGGAAAAAAAAGCTGAGTGCCTGGCTTGGGGCTGGATCAGTCGGCCATCACCCATTCCATCAGGCGGTAAGCGTGTTCAGACTCACAAGTCATATTTTATATAGGTCGACTTCTTTGTGACAGCTTGAGTCTGAGTCTGTGGTGTCATGATGTTGCGATCATTTCTCAACAACATCTTTCCATGGCCTGAGCCCGGAGACTTCAAAGATGGGCTGAAAGTGGGATACAGCCATCATTTGCTGGGTAGGCCTGGACATCCAGACCTTCAAATCCCATCTTCACAAAAAAACCAGGTTTTTTAGAAAAAACCAGGTTTTTTTGCAATCATGAAGAAAAACCAGGTTTTACGATCTTGACCTGGAAAAAAGTAGGTTCTCGACTTAGCAGGCAGTTCTTGAACATAAGGAACAGCTCAACCACACATGTGCCTCAAAAGTGGATGAACCAGGATCGTCCACTGGAAAAAACATGTCAGGTGATTCACCGGTGATTCACATGATTCGCTTTCGCACGATCGGCCGAGCTTTTGTTGTTTGCTCTTCGATGGCATTTTCGAAGGCGGAGACGGCCGTGGAAGGCGAAAAAACGCCCTTTTGAGACACGTCGAAAAGGGCATCGCTGTGCAGTGAAGACACCTGCCCAGTCGGTCATTGGTGTTTCACCACCCCCCCCCCCGAGAGAGGGTCATGTAGTTGGGGGACTTACCTTGGTTGTATTCCCTACCGGCCCTACCGAACATGTGGATGACCTTGAACCTTTTTGGGGGAGTGGTTCTCCATGAAAGATGGAACACATGGAAAAAAGGTGATCTGTACATGATCTGTACATTTCACCGGATGCACCCTGGAAACGAAGGTAAAACTGCAGCCCCAAGAGATGGCCGAGTCTGACCCGAACTTTTTGCTAACATGATCCATCAATCACTGTATCATGCAATCAATCAACATCAAGCTAGCCAACCAACCAACACACCAACCAAAGGAAAGAGGTGAAAAAGAAAGGGTATATAGAGGGTCAAAAAATAAAGGGTAGAGGGTGAGCAAAAGAAGGTTCGAAAAAGAAAGGTTGAGGGTGGAAAAAAGGCGGGGTGAAAAAAGGGTTCAAGGGTGAAAAAAGAGGTTGCCCTTTATGGTTCTGTTTGGTCATAAATGTTTATGAATTCTTGCGAACGAAAGACCCAGGGGAGAACAACAGTCCAGAAGAATAATGTTGTTTAAACAGTTGCATCAACCAACATGTGCAGTCATCTCTTTGAGAGTCAGCTATCCATGTGCCGTTGCTCTTCAGCATTGAAGCTGGGGAGTCGATATCTGGTGCATTGCTTGGTGCTTAAGAGAGTCATCTCCTTCAGGTGTCTCCAGCCTATCTCCAGGCTAGTTCCCTATCCTTGAGCCAATCCATCTGGTGGGACCCCCACAAAAACGACCCTCAAAACGAGTGGGGGCCCTTTGTCTGTGTCGTTTCTTTTGATCCAGCTCCCAGGTCGGGAAGTTCTTGGCATGGTTTACACCAGCCGTGCCCGGGCCCTCTGAACACGAAAGCTGGCCGGACCTCATGGCCCCGGGCTTTTGGCCTCTCCCGTACTTGGGTCCGTGGGTGATCTAGTAGAGAGAACCTTTTTTGGAAGGCCCTCCATTTGGTTCTTCCGAACTCGTGACCGAACTTGATCTCTGTCTTTGGTTTGATGTTGGTGAGCAAAACGCACAGGTCCCTGGGAATACAGGTCACTGGCTGGGACTTCCAAGTTGAAACACTGACTGAAGAAGGCGGCATGTTCTTGTTCTTTTCCCTGTCAACTACTAGGAGCAGCCAAGGACATGAATCAATTGTTTTGAAATGTTTTGAATGATGCTCAACGTTTTTACTGCCAGAGTTCATCACAACATGAGACTCATGGTGCACAGCGTTGCTGCGAGGCGCAGCACGGAGGATTTCAAGGAGTACTTGTGTGGCATCAGTGAGATGGCCTTCATTATGAGCTCGGACCCCCACCTTCGGCTTCCGCGCACCCTCCGCGCCGTACAGCGACGTGGTCTCCACGCCGCCGGTGGTGTCGTCCGTCGGTGTTGTTCCGCGCCACGACACCGACAGACCGGTAAAGCGTCGACGGAGTCGTCATCGCTTCGGGTCTCCCGTCGCGTTGGTTTTCACCGCTTCGTTTGGACGTTCGGCACGGTTGAAGGGTCGGGACGAAGTGACGAAGTGAGACGAAGTGATCCATGTCTTTTGGATCAAGCAGCTTCTTCCAAGTGACCGAACTTGGAAGGGCCTGGACTGTTGGTGAAGGAACCCACATCAAACCAGGGGGATCAAGTTCGGTCACGAGTTCCGAAGAACCAGGAACCTGGACCTGCTCTTGACTTATTCGGTGGAATTGACACGACGAAGCTGGTGTTCTGCTCCCGAACGGAGGGCCGTGAAAAGAAAGAATGCATGCGAGATTCCTTTTAGATTCCTTTTTAGTATGGCCACATCAAATGAATTCCATTTCAGGGGGTTGCATGCAGTCGCATGCAAGGCGTAAATCTGTAGGGAGCTTGTGTCATCTCATGTCTCAAGAATGTGTATATACCTATAACATAACCTTTTCTTGGGCAGAAGTTTTTGCCTATTTGGGGTAAAGGCGTCTTTGCCCGTGCTTAGGCGTTCTTGCCTCCTGTAGGCATTCTTGTCCCCTCTGGGCGTTCTTGTCCTATTGGTGGCAGTGCTCAAATAGATGAGGATCCGCCCAGCACTGATTCCACGAACTTTCATAGTGAGGTACATTTGCTTGTCATGAATTCCCTTAATGTTTCTCTTGTGATCATCTCTTTTGTATGTTTAGTTTTTCTACGCTTTAATTCATTTTTGCGCAGGTGTTCTTCCCACTTAGGCGTTCTTGCCCATTCCCCCCTGACTACAATCAGTAGTTGGGTGGACAACGGAATGGTAGCCTTTTGGGGGGAGTGAGCGACATGAGTTTGAAAAACTCTAGACTGGGGATTAGCGTCAAGTGGCAGGCGTTTGTTTTCTCAATTTTGTTCATTCAAATTCTGGCTTTGACTCCTGCATGTAAGAATGCATGTGAGTGTGCCTCGGCGATTTTGACCCTCGAGGCTGTAGCTTCTTTGCAAAAACGGGCTGATTTTTCTGCCTAAATGGCGTTGGGTGGAAATTATTGCCTAACGAGGTTCTAGGTATAATATGACTTGCCGAGTTGGGACCTGACTTGGTATGAGTACAAGTGTGTTGGGGTGTCTCATGATCAAAGATTAAAAAGCCATGATGCACGGCCTGGCGTCGTTCGCTTTTCCTTCTGGTCGACCTTCTTGTGTCTCAATCCTCAAGGATCACCTCGGCACGTTTGCGATCTGCAGATCATGCTGAGTATCATGCGTCAGGCAGATCCGAAGCTGCGACAGCTGAAGAAGGAACTCGAACTGCTCCCAACCGTTCGGTTCGCTCCGAGCGCGCCCAGGTGACCTGTGCCTGATTGGGTCCAATCTGCCGCTGGGCGAAATGGAGTCCAGTGCTTTTGGGCGGCCCAGTGCAACTCATGAGACACGAATTCCTGAAAAAATCATCAGTTCCAGGGCGGGGTGCTATCCATGGAGGTTAGGGGTGCCCCTGTCACATCCACTGACTGATTGGATGGGACACGACACACACACACACACATCCGCTTTGTGACAGCTGGTAAGTTAATGTGATCCATATGGGCATCGATCTAAAGGTCCATGAAAGGAGCTTCATATGGAACAGCCATTTCGGTTACTAAGTACCAACCGGGCGAAAGATCGCGCAAGTTAAACACAGGGTTCGCGAAAGTAATCTTTTTTTTTCGCGAAAGTTCATGTAACCATGTATGTTATTTGTAGGTAAAGGGACCCTTATTTGTTTGCTTACTGTGATCTTTTCAGAGCACCAGCTCAGAAGGAAATCAGAGTCTTTGTGCAATTGTCACCAAGCCTTGTCTTCACGAGCTTTTGCTGCTCAAATGACGGGTTTCGTCTCAGAGGAAACTCGGTACGCCAATGGAAAGGTTCGATCCATTGCTGAAGAAACTTGGGAATTTGTCCAAAACATGTCCGGTTTTTCGCGAAAGTTTCGCGAAAGTTCGCGAAAGTCTTCGCGAAAGACGGGTTGTCCTGAGAAGGGGTTGCCTCATGTCTCTTTAGGTTCGAGTCAGACAGAAAGATTGTAGGATGGATATAGTCGGAACTTTTCGGGAATGCATACGCAATGGGGCTCCAGGTGAGAAGTCAGTTACAGGTTGCAAAGTTGAGTTAGGGGCTACATCATGCATACCTATATATAGTTTTCCTTTAACTACTATATATATATATATACCCATGTACCCGAACTTCTTCTGAATATGTAAGATCATACTTCGCGAAAGTTAAGCATGGGGTTCGCGAAAGTAGTCTTTTTTTTTCGCGAAGAGGCACTTTCCAGATGAAAGGAATTTAGATCAACCACCATATAGATTCTTAGACTCTGGGACTGACAGATTCCTGCCTGGACTCGATAGATTGCGTACCGCCAGTTTCTGCCATTTCTGCCACTAGGACATCCACCTCTTTCAAGTTGGGGGGTGGAGTTTCGCCGGTTGAAAGAAACCTTCATTCTATTTGTGCCTTCCCCCCAAAAGCCGCACAGCTCCACACCGCTCCCTGAGGTACATTGCATCCCTCACGCTCATCGCCACGGTCTTTTTTTGGTGCCCGGATGGGCATCGTGGGCCAATGGACAGGGAGAGGGGGGAAGCACCTGAGGCTCGAGCCTCCACCCAGAAGCTAAGAGAGACTCTCCTGAATCCTTTGGTGGTGACGAACGTCGAAGACGAGGTTTGGACCATGACGAGGACCTCGGGCGGCTGTTAGGGTTATAGTATTGAAGCCAAAAAAAGGCAGGAGCAAGACAGATCTTTGTTGCCGAGGTGGTCTTGATTTGCGTGATGTGTGGGGGTCCTCTAGAAGATCCGATGCTTATCATAACACCTGCTTCAATGACTCCTTTGAGGATAGAAATTTGGGCCAGCTCAGTCCGAAAAGAGCACTGAACGATTGTATTGATGATGACTCATCACTTGGCAGCTCAAACCTGAGGGTAAGGGGGGGCTCTCTCATGTTGGTTCAACACAAAGAGGAGGAGCTGCATCCAGTTCAGACACAGCTGGAGCCCCTTGACTCAGCCGCTCATTCCGCTGCATTCCACGGCCCTGCTCAAGCAAGCTTTGGAAGGAATAGAACCACAGGCATCACATGCAACTGCAGACTCCACTGTCCGAAAAGTCCCAACACTGGAACCCTCCATGTGACACTTCATTGCACTGAACATGTTTGAAAATAGGGATGGGGTGTGGGTCAATTTGAGAAGGACCTCAAGAGCCGATGTGGGTGGTGTCTTTGCGGCCGGTCCGGTCAACCAACCAAAACACCGAACACACACAGAGACACACAGACACTTAAGCAGGAAGCATTACAAAGCGTCGCAAAGAGTCCAGCATGGTGGCCCAGACTGTTCAGGGAGAATCTGCACTGTTCAGGGAGAATCAAACTGTTCTGTTCGACCTGTTCTACCTGAAGTGCATATCCTGTTTTCAACATCCTGTTAGGAGTTCGACCTGTAGAACTATGCTATAGGTTCCCATTGTCCTCATTGTTCGACCTGTTCTACCGTCCTCATCCTGTGAAGGATCTCCGAGGGTCGAAGCTGAATTCGACTGCCGGATTGATCTCTGCCTCCGCGTGGCACCGAGAGGAGGCACTGGTGACGGGACGAGGAGCTTGGTTGCGGAGATAACATTTGAGAGTAGCTGGGACAAGAAAATGGATGAATACATGACCCCACAAAAGAACAAAAACAACAACCGGTATATATACGTGTGCCATCGTGTGCCCATGTTCTGAAGCAATGGAAGAAATCATGGAAGTGAAGTGAAAACCACCTGTAAGAGGTGGTGTTCACTTCACTTCCATATTTTTTTCAATTAAATGCTCATCCTTGCGGAGCCATGCCATCCACGGCCCATGATGGCCCGGGAGTGTAGATCTGGATATGCTCGCTGGCGAGTGTAGATGCATAATCTCCAGCTACTGTAGCAGATTTTTGTAGGCCACAGCAGCTGATGCATGCGAGTGGTGAGGGTCGGCACAGATGCGGTTGAAAGTTCATGATACGCTGTGAAGGCTATGAACGGCGTCCATGCAGCGCTTGTGCTCTTACGTTTGCAGCATAGCTGAGACCAACTGATGTCTATTATACGATTGCCGTTGGGGTCTGTGGGGGTGGGTTCTCGATCAACTCATTGGACACTTTTCTCCCAGGGGCCTGCCTGATGTGATGATTGGATGATCACTCCCGATGGGTTTCCCCCCCGCTATAGCGGGATCCTCAAGGGTGTCCTATCCGTGCTTCGC